TTAGTGCAGCTTCAATGCATTTTCTCCGTCTTAAGTACATAAGTGTCTTTTTCCACATCTTGTCGGTATCACCATACCATTTCCTCACATCGGTGTGAGTGGGTGTGAGTTGGACCTGACTAGCCTGTGCTACTAGGTCAGATGCCGTGCTCCTTCCTTAAGTGAATGTGACCTGACCTGGCTAGGTTAAGGCATTGGCATAAGCCGGTGGGAAAATTGGACCTGCCTTGCATGGGCCAGTAGACCTGCTGCCGTGTTCTTTCTTTCTTATGTTCTTATGTTCCTTTAATACCCTCAGATCCTTGTTATCGTCATTGTAGAATCCATCTTATTTTAACAATGGGCCCAATACTGGATGTGGGTTTTGCCCTGGATTTTGCGTAGAAGTGTGTAGACTCTTTGTCAAGTTATTTTATAGTATCTTGTTTCTGTGTTTCTCCTGGGACCTGAATGATTCGTTCAGTTTGAGCTAAATGTTTTGTTTCCCTGGTCAGTGTTTCTTATCGTTCTTCAGAAAGTCTGCACATCTGTAATTTTCCGTCACCCCCTGTAGAATGAACCCCTTTCTCTGTAACCTACATTTTCTCTTATTTCTGAATACTACTTGTCTCGAGGATGCTACTAGTATTGTTGAGGTAATCCGCGTCAGATACTGGTTCAGATTCATAACACTCTTAATATTTTCCCAGCATATATCAGAATGGTCATGATTTATTTGTCCCCAATTGATGTTTTTGTTGTTGAAATTGAATTCGTTGAACTGCTCTTCGTGACTGGTTGAATTTTCTTGCTGACGACCAGTGTGTATACAGGTTGGAATCTCGATTAGATTTTTATCTGAATTAGTCGTATTTGACACCATTATGCTCACTAATAGACCCTCATTATTTGTGAATATAAGGTCCTGGGCATTTTCTAGTCTGGTCTTTTCCGCTATTTGTGGGAATAAGGCAAATTTATTGCCGAATATTTATAGTTAAGATGTACGAGATGGTTCATCTGAGCTGACTCTTGGGATTTTCTCTGCTATTACTGCCTATTGCTTCAAATTTAGGTATCGTAAACTATAGTCGCCAAACAAGGTGATATTTGGGGCAGGATGCGAATGATTTTCTATAATTCGATTATTCAGTGATTTGTCTTTGAACTACTGAGAAGTTGTATCTGGTTGGTTATAAACAGTTACAAAAATATATATTGATTTTAAATTTTTACTGCAAAAATCTTCACCTACATCATTTGTGGTGTTAACTCTATTATTATTGTGGTATTAAACTCCATTTAACATAAAGACCAATCCCTTCTGGTTATCTGCATTTTTCGGTTTCACTTAAGCAGATTAACCAAAGATCCACATTTTAATGTCAGAATAGTCTTTTGTTTCGATTTCAGTATAAACTGCAAGCGTTTCATTGGACTCCACAATGAGTCCATTAAAAAGTGAACTTTGTTGTTGTTGCTCAGTTTAAGACCTTTTATGTTTGCAAAAATGGAAGCAATTACATTATTTATTCCTGTTCTGGGTTTTTATTTGTTGGTCTTAATAATAATAATAATAATAATAATAATAATAATAAGATTATTATTATTATTATTATTATTATTATTATTATTATTATTATTATTATTATTATTATTATTACTATAACTATGGCTCTGATATGTCTGCCAGTGATTTTGATTCCAGTCCATCATGACTCTGAAGTGGTGATACATTCTCATCATTTCTTGCCAGTCTTTTCTACGTCCTGTCACTAAAGATTTTTTATATTCTGTGTGGCTGTGGTTGTTATGTTCTGGTTGATGTTCCCTTGACTTAATGTTCTTTGTTACCTTCACAAGGAACACTTGACAGTTTATGTTACATCACTTTTTATCATTTAATGAGTCATGGCATATTTATGGGTGGAAGACTTCGCAATTTTCAGCACAACACACACCTTTATTCAGGAGATTTCTGCATCTCCCAGACTGATCATTCCAACAGGTTCAAGTGTATTTACCAACTGGTCCACGTCTACATATATCACCAGGCCATAGTACATACATATCTGTTGACTGCTATGAATGTGACTACATTTAGTAAGTGACCAATTTTCAGCAGTCTATTATGTGACTAAAGCAGTTGCTTCAGTCACATCATAGACTGGAAGTAATTCAGCCGATATAGTTTCTACAACTGACCCAGTTGCGTCTACAGCTGAAGTTAATACTGCCTGCTCTGCAACTGCAAGTGATTCAAATGTTTCGTGATTCATTACCGAATTTCATTTATTTCTAGAGCCACACTGTTACTGGTGGTGAGTGCCATGCTACTCATACAGCAATGGTAATGAGTATATCATTGGTGTACAATACCAACAAGATGATAAATTAGGCACATTTGCTCCATCTGGGTTTCTTCATTTTGTAGACGTTTCGCCACCAGTGGCTTTATCATTTCAATATAGAGGCGTTAACGGAATTCTCTAGAAGACAAAATAATCATTTCCTCATATTAAACAAGACTAGGTTAAGGGACTGATTATCTCATCTTCTGTATATAATTCAGGGAGGAGAGGGACTGATTACCTTCTACACTCTTCCGTTTATAGTCCTGCATTGTACTGATAAAGCCACTGGTCGGCAAAACGTCTTTTACAAAATAAGATACCTAGATGTTGCACATTTCTCTAATTCATCGATGTAAAGTAAAAGGACACAAGTGCAACTAATGTGACATTTATTGTGGCAACGTTTCGCTCTCCAGGAGCTTTATCAAGCCATTACAAACAATACATGGACACAGAGGGTATATAAAGGGTCAGAGTGAGGTGAATACTAGTGAGGTACCATTTCGATGTTCACTAGTGGTAGAAGTAGTAGTAGTAGTAGTGGTAGTGACAAAAGTAATACAATATGGTAGAGCAATTAATTCGTACATGAGTAAAAGGTTATAAAAGCTATTACTTGGGTAACATAAAAATAGGTTGGACAAATATAAACTGGAATGAGGCAGGTTGTTTCAGTGTTCACTCTCTGTGCTTTGTGTAGTATAACAGGAGAGACTATGTGATGGCAGGGTTTACTGTTTTCAGGAGGATTCTTGCTAAGACTTCGGAGATGGTGAAGCTGCCGTTGTTTTGTTTAATTGTATTCGAAACAGCGATCAGTGCTGATTCAAGGCACTTGCGTGTGCGGAAATTAGTTTCTTTTATCACTAATTGGGCGTCTCTAAATTTCATAAGATGATTGGTGGAATTTCGGTGTTGTACACAGGCGTTGTTTAAGTTGTCGTTCCTACATGCGTATATGTGTTCATTGAGGCGGGTGTCGAGGTTTCTTGCTGTTTCACCTACGTAGATCTTGTCACAGCCTCCACAGGGTATAGTGTAAACTCCTGCATTGACTGGTTCGTGGTGCTTGGGTTTTGTCCTGGTTAGATCCTTTATTGAAGTGGTAGAAGCGATGGCGACTCTGGTGTTAGCTTGTGAAAGTACTTTTGAGACGTTTAGTGCAACCTGGCTGTTGGGAAGAATTATAACTTTGTTGGGAGCGGCGTTGATGCGTGGAGAATTGATGATCTGAAGAGCTCTTTTCTTGCAGTCTTTGATGAAAAAAGAAGGAAATTGTAACTCAGTGAATGTTTGGTGAATGTAAGTACATTCCTCGTCAAGAAACTCAGGACTACAAATTCGGTATGCTCTTAGGAAAAACCCGATGATGATGCCTCTTTTGGTCTTGGTATCTTGACTGGAATAGAAGTGTGTGAGATCATTTTTATTGGTGGGTTTCCGATAAACTTGAAATCTTAGGTTGTTGTCTACTTTGTGAATGAGGACGTCGAGGAAAGGTAGCTTGTCATTGGACTCTTCTTCTAGTGTAAACTGAATCGCTGAAAAGATCATCAATTCTCCACGCATCAACGCCGTTCCCAACAAAGTTATAATTCTTCCCAACAGCCAGGTTGCACTAAACGTCTCAAAAGTACTTTCACAAGCTAACACCAGAGTCGCCATCGCTTCTACCACTTCAATAAAGGATCTAACCAGGACAAAACCCAAGCACCACGAACCAGTCAATGCAGGAGTTTACACTATACCCTGTGGAGGCTGTGACAAGATCTACGTAGGTGAAACAGCAAGAAACCTCGACACCCGCCTCAATGAACACATATACGCATGTAGGAACGACAACTTAAACAACGCCTGTGTACAACACCGAAATTCCACCAATCATCTTATGAAATTTAGAGACGCCCAATTAGTGATAAAAGAAACTAATTTCCGCACACGCAAGTGCCTTGAATCAGCACTGATCGCTGTTTCGAATACAATTAAACAAAACAACGGCAGCTTCACCATCTCCGAAGTCTTAGCAAGAATCCTCCTGAAAACAGTAAACCCTGCCATCACATAGTCTCTCCTGTTATACTACACAAAGCACAGAGAGTGAACACTGAAACAACCTGCCTCATTCCAGTTTATATTTGTCCAACCTATTTTTATGTTACCCAAGTAATAGCTTTTATAACCTTTTACTCATGTACGAATTAATTGCTCTACCATATTGAATTACTTTTGTCACTACCACTACTACTACTACTACTTCTACCACTAGTGAACATCGAAATGGTACCTCACTAGTATTCACCTCACTCTGACCCTTTATATACCCTCTGTGTCCATGTATTGTTTGTAATGGCTTGATAAAGCTCCTGGAGAGCGAAACGTTGCCACAATAAATGTCACATTAGTTGCACTTGTGTCCTTTTACTTTACATATTGTCGGTAATTCTACCAACTTTATTACAATTCATCGATGGTAATGAGTGTAGAGATGAAGACAATGTTGATCATTGTAGTGATGGGGTCGAAGAGTTCGTGAGATGGGGTCGAAGAGTTGGTGAGTGTAGTATTAGTGGTGGAGAGGGGAATAACAGTGGTGATGCCACCTGCCATAAATTCAAACATACATGAAAAGTGATTTGAAAAGAACTGATCTGTATGCACTGTTCACAGGCGGTGATTTCACTGATGATACTGACAGTAGAAGATGTTGGGGGCCTCCTGACCTTCGCCTCATTCACCAGTGTTCTCGTCAATCTCACAGCTATTGCTTCTCTAATATGGCTACGCTACAAGCAACCTGACAGACCCAGGCCATTCAAAGTGAGTTGCAGGGTAGTTTTGTTGGAGTGCACACATATGCACACGCGTACATGCAGGTATTTACACACACACACACACACACACACGTAGTGTAGTGGGTCGCAAGCGCCAGGCTCTGAGAATCTTAGTGCTTTTAGGGCGTGTTTTAGCAGCTAGAAGCAACCAGTGTTAGTGAGAACGTCAGTGAACAACCCTACAAGTGATAACCAAAGTATCAGCAAAAATAAATAAAGTAAAGGCGAGAGAAAGCCTGAAATTATACAACAAAATTTCAAAGTGCCAGTTCGTTGAGGCCTAGTTGGCACCTGTTGCCACATTGTTACACATAACAAAGTACAAAGCGAGTGACTAAAGAGAAAAGATCAAATAGAATTAAGAGAGGGTGGCTAACGACAAACTGTGATGTAGCACACAGCGTGAACAAGCTGGCCAGAAAGGGGATATATATATATATATATATATATATACATACATATACATAAAAATATATATAAGCAGAGGTGGTGGCAGCAGTAGGCCTGAGGGAGTAGAGCCGCCATAACAGGTTGGGTGTCATCACAAATAAGAAGTGTACTTACCAAAAGTGAAGTGTAAATTATAAAAGTAGCAGTATACAAGTGATAAGTGTGGTAAATGAGGACTCAAAAGGGCAACGAGAAAAGAATAGCTGAAGAAGTCAGCGGCAGAAGGGCGAGGTGCACGAGTCATCGTACAGCGAGCATCGTACAGCGAGCATCGTACATCAGGCATCTGGATGGACGTCCCCTCTGAGGAGTAATGTACAAATCACCTGTTTGTGGTTGGCGGGAAGTTTTGAGTGGTAGAGCCGGCCCTACGGTCACTGGTAGCTCGCTATCTAAACCCAGCTCCAGAGGGATTATCATACACACAACACCTAGCAGTAGTAGGAAGATAAAATTTGTAGGAGCAAGGAATAGGCAGTTTCGAGAGATAATGTTTTAGGACACAAAGACAGTACAATCTGAGAAGCAAGTATTGGGTACACATGTAGTAAAAAGGTAGAGTTTATAATGGGTGAAAGAATTGGACTTCGTTAAACCCCCACGCTTTAAGGGTTTATTATAATTATTAGAAATTACTCTCAGTGTTAATGGTATCATATTAGTATTTACGGATACACAGAGGTGAATTGTATTTCTGGGACATAGAAAAACTGATCTGTGCTCACACCACAACGCGAGGCACACCACATACAACTCGTGGGCCAGGAGCTGAGTCTCGACCCCTTGTAACCAACCAACTAGGTGTGCTACAACCAGCTGATCCTTGGAATTTGACCGCGTTCCCCCTCATCCCCCCCGCACACTTTCCCTCCCCCACAGGACCTTCCCCTCCCACTCTTGGCTTCACTCCTCCCTATCTTTTCATTCCCTCGCGTTTTCTTCTCATAGCCTTTTTCCCTACTCTCTCTGTCTCTCGCTCTCTCTCTCTCTTCATCTCTCTTCTCTCTCTCTCTCCTCTCTCTGTCTCTCTCTCTCTCTCTCTCCTCTCTCTCTCTCTTCCCTCTCTCTTCTCCCTCTCTCTCTCCCTCTCTCTCTCCCTCTCTCTCTCCCTCCTCTCTCTTCCTCTCTCTCTTCCTCTTCTTCTCCCTCTCTCTCTCCCTCTCTCTCTCACTCTCTCTTCCCTCCTCTCTCTACCCTCTCTCTCTTCCTCTCTCTCTTCCTCTCTCTCTTCCTCTCTCTCTTCCTCTCTCTCTTCCTCGTCTCTTCCCTCTCTCTCTTACCTCTCCTCTCTTCCTCTCACTCTTCGTTCTCTCTTTCTTCCTCTCTCCTCTTCCTCTCTTCTTCCTCTCTCTCTTCCTCTCTCTCTTCTCTCTCCTCTTCCTCTCTCTCTTCCTTCTCTCTTTCTTCTCTCTCTCCCTCTCTCTCTCTCCCCCTCTCTCTATCTCTCTCCCTCACTCCCATAACCCATATCTCTCACCCTTCCTCTATCTCTATAGGCTTCTCTCTCCATCTTCGCCATTTCTCTCTTCATAGCCTTTTCCCTCGCCCTCCTCTTCTCTCTCCTCTCCAAAACCCTATCTCTCCCCTTCTCTCTCTCTATAGGTTTCTCTCTCCTATCTCTCATTTCGCTCTCTCATAGCCCTTTTCCCTTGCCCTCCTTTCTCCCTATCCTCTTTTTCTCCCGCTCTCTACCCTTTCTTTCATCCCTACATTTCTCTCTCTCCCCCTTGGTCTTATCCCTCACCCCCATACTCACTCCTCTCTCTCCACTCTTTTTCTACCCTTTCTCTCTCCTCTCTCTCCCTTCTTCTTACCCTTTCCTCTCCCCCCCCGAACACATCCTCCCCTCCTCTAGCCTTCTGTCTGTGGTAATAAAAAAAAAAATGGGTGGCCTTACGAGGACGGAAAAAATCAGAGACTCTGGTTAGTCGAACCAGGGAGGAAAGACTGGGAGTTAGAGCTCCAAAAAAGGGAGGATAGAGTGAGGGAGGAAGGAAGATAGTTGGAGCTTGAAGAAATGGAGGAGCGGTTAGCTGAAGAGTGCGGGGGAAGTGGGAAAGTACAGGTCTTAGAGCAGAAGCTAGGATACAGTGCTTAGAGGAGAAACTGCAAAGCCTTGAATACAGATTTGAGAGACAATGACAATTCAGATGTGACATCAGGAAATTCAAAGTCAGCGCCAGACAAGGGGACGGCCAAGCAACAACGGAGACATGCCATAACGAAGGCCTATCAGACCCACGTGGGGGCCAGGAAAAAAGGACGATGCGCACCACTACGCTCCCAGGACCCCGGTCCAAATGTCAATGAGGTATAGCTATATGCAGAGGATTCTAACAAGACAACTGCATAGAAAAGACAGGCTGGTCAGGAAAGACAGTTCACTAGAATAGAAGTTTCAGATATGACAGGGACTGAAGGCAGAACATGTCAATGGAAGGAAATAAAATGCTCAGGAGGAAGCAGATGGAGACTCAGTGGGAGAGGAAAGGGGCGAGGTCAGTTTTTGTGTATGGGCTCCATGAGCCAAGGGGGACAACTTTGAAGAAAATAAAACAGGAGGCGAAAAAAAATGAATTGAAGCATCATGAAAACAATAGGGGAGGGCGATAGGACCCAGGTGACAAATTTACATGTAGAATTGGGTGGTTTGCGATGTGGAAGGATACGGCTGTCAGAGTAACTTTCAAGGAAGAATCAGTTCGAAACCAGGGATTTGCAAGAGAAAGCAAGATGAGGGACAAAGAGGATGGTACCAGAGAGTATACCTTTCGACGCCGCAGAACACAAGAAGAAATGGACTACACCTTGAAAAGAGAGGGTACCAGAGACGCAAGGAGGAACGAGAAGCAACGAAATGAGTCCAGGGACCCAGACACAGGAGAAAAGGGCAAACACACCCCCACAGCATCTCCCACCGAAATACTCCAAACGCGACATTCCCAACGCAAAACTGAGCAACCTATACTACAAAACCCCATCACTGTTCCCTCTGCCACCAAAACCCCATATCGCAAACCTCACCCCAAACAGCTGTCCCTTATGGGCATTCTGACACCACCCCCAATCAACACAAACCCCACCTACACCACAGCCCCATATAGGCCCCCACAAGGGCTCTCGCTCCCCAACCCCAATATTCTTGCATGACCACAATGTTAGAAAAGAAATTGAAGGTTTGGACACAAACGCGAGATGGTAAATAAGAAAAAAACATGAGGAGTGGAATGAAAGAATTCCAGTGAAAAAAATCCCCAGAATCATAGCAGTCGCAGAAACAAAACCGCTGAGACAATAACAGACACAGTCTTCCCAACAGGATATCAGATCCTGAGGAAAGATAGAAAGGAAGTAGAGGGGGAGGAGGAGTTGCTCACTGCTCATAAAACTCCGATGGGGATTTAAGGAAATGGAAGGCATGGACATGATTGGACGAAGGACTACATTGTAGGTACAATTCAGTCGGAAGAAATAAAGTAGTCTTGGAGTGATGTTATAAACCCACCACAGAACTGCAGGACGCAAGAGAGGAGTACAAGAAAACAACAGGCGGGTGATGGGTGGAACACTGGCTGAGGTGGCAAAGAAGAGCTCACTCGAGCAGAGCAAAGTTAACCTGGTAATGGGCGCGATTTCAACATCACAGGGAGATCGACTGGGAAAACCTGGAGCCACATGGGCGGGGTCCCGAAACATGGAGAGCCAAGATGATGGATGTCGGTACTTGAAAACCTCATGCAATCAGCATGTCAGGGACACAACCAGAGAGAGAGGGGAGGATGACCCAGAAGACTGGATCTTGTGTTCACCCTGAGCAGTTCAGACTTTGGGGACATCACTTACAGGGGCCCCCCTTGGAGTAGCGATCACGTGGTTTGAGTTTTGATATATAGTAGAGTTCAAGGGGGGAGAAGGTAACGGGAACTAAAGGGGGGAAGGCCAAACTTAAAAGGGGGGACTACACAGGTATGAGAAATTTCCTGCGGGAGGTCAGGGGGAAGAGAAATGGTAGGAAAATCAGTAAACGAGATGATGGAAATATGTGGCAACAAAGGCCAAAGGGGGCAGAGGAAATTTTTTTTCCAAAGGGGAAAAAGAAATAATGGAAGACCAAAACGAGTCCTTGGGTTTTCCCGAAAGGGGTAGGGGGGCAAAAATAAGAGTAAAAGAGAATGGAAAAATAGGAGGGATGGACCCCGGAAAACAAGGAATTATAGAAGAGCCAGAAACGAGTATGCACAATAAGGAGGGAGGGCCGCGACAGTATGAAAAAAGACATAGCATCGAAAACAAATCTGACCCGAAAGCTGATAGCCACTTAGGAGGAAAAAAACAGTCAAGGACCAGGTGATAAGGCTGAGGAAAGAAGGGGGAGAACTCACAAGAAAAGACAAAAGGGGTGGGAGTCAAAAACGAGTTTAAAGGGAAATTTTACATAGGAAGGAAGGACTCTGGGGGGACAGACCAATGGGGACACCAGCAAGGAATGCACCAAAACAAGTGTTGGAGACATCATACAGATGGGAGGAGGTGAAG